TTATAGACAGGTGGTCTGTATAGAAAGTTGATATTTATAGACTGGTGGTCTGTATAGACAGGTGATATTTATAGACAGGTGGTCTGTATAGAAGGTTGATATTTATAGACCGGTGGTCTGTATAGAAAGTTGATATTTATAGACTGGTGGTCTGTATAGAAAGTTGATACTTATAGACAGGTGGTCTGTATAGAAAGTTGATATTTATAGACTGGTGGTCTGTATAGACAGGTGATATTTATAGACTGTTGGTCTGTATAGACAGGTGTTATTTATAGACTGGTGGTCTGTATAGAAAGTTGATATTTATAGACTGGTGGTCTGATAGACAGGGGATCTTAACAGGCAGATGGTCACCATAGACAAGTGATACTTATAGAAGGTTATATATACGGACAGGTGATATATACAGACAGGTGATCTTTATAGACAGTTGATTTTTATATACAGATGGTCTTCATAGACGGGTGATATTTACAGACATTTGATCTATAAATGACAAGAGGTCTTTATGGAGAGGTTGTATTGGTAGAAGAGTGGCTTTTATAGATAGGGTGATTATAGACAGGTGGAGTCTTAAAATCTGGTTTCAATTTATAATATGACATGTTTTTATTCAATTGCATCTATATCATGATCCTGTTTATTGTTCAAGTTCATTTTTCTGTTTATTTTTGATAAATATATTACATTGATCACTTCACAACCTGTTCATTACAATAGAATTCACATTGATAGTATTTTATTTTAAAGAGTTCTTGATAGTGTTAGCTCAAATTTGCATGTTTTATATAGGTCTATTATGATATAAAATAAGTCTTGATTTATCTCCTTTTTGTCTGCTTTTAGATTTCCATGTGCCGGCAGAATATCTTACAAATATCTTCATTCGTGACAAGGTTTGTAAATTTTGTATCGGGCAGACAGACAGCTATACTTGGTTGATCCAATACTGTAAATCATTTTTGCAAAAGATTTTTTTGCCAGAAGACATATTGTTTTTAAAAACATTAATTCAAGCACAAGTTATTTACCAATAAAACCCACAGACAGAGTAGGTACATTCAAAATTAAAAAGATTTCTGGTAAATTTAACATAATATTCTTCAATATTTTTATTCAGTGAATACGTGTTAAGATTATGTATAACTGTACAACTTTATGAGATTCAGGGTTGTGTGATTAGGAAATTCACTTAGATTTCCTATTTCATATAAATCACACAAAAGTTACGATTAAAAATTCGAAAATCCTATAATATCTCGTACTGGAAATGATAATAAAAAGAAATAGTGGTTACATAAAGGCGCTTTTTTTTTAATGAATAATAATTACCAAGCACCGATGAGGTCTTGAGAGCTTTTTTAGTGTTTGAACCCTTGTACATTTGAATGCTGGTAGTCATGGTTTGGACTCTCCATGACGGGTAGTTTGTGCCAAACTTTTAGACTGGTTCTTAATGCTATTGTATATCTGTTAATCTTGAGACTGCCCTTGGTTGCCTGCTTTCATGTCAATTTGGGTAACACAAATATATGATATTTGTACATATACTTTCTTCAGGAAGTTGCAACCGTTGTTTGAAAAACAGCTTTGATACACTGAAAGTGTTCATCGCGACCAAGTTTGATACATTGCACGATCGACCTATTGACCTTTGTCAGTAACTTCCTGTTTAATTTTCCACAGCTTGCGCCTGTCAAGTTAAACAGATACGGCGAGGATCTACTGTTTTATCTCTTCTACATGAATGGGGGAGATGTTCTTCAGCTGGCTGCGGCATTTGAATTGTAAGAATGTTCAGCTTTTATTTTCATCACTTTTTTGTATGTTTTTTATATTCAAATAATTGTAAATTCCCTTTTTATACGCCCGTCGAAGACGGGGACGTATTATGTTATCACGTGAGCGGGCGGGCGGGCGAACGAACGATGTCCGCTCGATATCTCGAGTAATTGTTAATGGATTAACTTCAAACTTCACAACAAGGTTAATTACCATGAAAGCTTTAACAAGTTCGATAACCGCCATTATCCGACCATAATTTCTGGAGTTATGCCCCTTTATGGATTTTCCGAAACAGTGTCCGCTCGATATCTCGAGTAATTATTAACGGATTAACTTCAAACTTCACAACAAGGTTAATTACCATGAAAGCTCGGACAAGTTCGATAACCGCCATTATCCGACCATAATTTGTGGAGTTATGCCCCTTTATGGACTTGCCGAAACAGTGTCCGCTCGATATCTCGAGTAATTATTAACGGATTAACTTCAAACTTCACAACAAGGTTAATTACCATGAAAGCTCGGACAAGTTCGATAACCGCCATTATCCGACCGTAATTATTGGAGTTATTCCCCTTGGTTTCATTAATGCGATGCATGCGTTCCATGATGTTGTATTGCACTCATTGATCTACCAGTTATGTTGAATGATTTCTCTTTTAATATCAATTACTCATAAATACTTCATATATTTCAATCATACAAACAACTGCTCATTCAATGTGTGGCGGGCGTATTATATACCGCCCGTGGTAACCTTGTTGAAATTATCGAATTAATTGATGCAAGCCCACTTTTATACAAAGTGGTCTCACACAAGTGATTTCTCAGTTAAATATTCACTTGCAATAATGCATGACCTCTTTGTATTCATCATTGGTCTGTTCCGAGGATGCTATATTCTAATCTGAGAGTGAGATAAGCTCTTTAAAGAGATCAACTTTCTCAAAAGGCCACTTTCAAAAGCTATCTGAACCTCTTTTTGAAGGTTGTTTGAAATAAAAGTCCACTTAATGGACCCCTCGAAGCCGGTCTCTGAACACATGTTTGACTGGAGTTCACATGAAGGTTATATCATAGTTTCTCTCTAATAAGGGTAACCTGCCGCTCATATGCCGATAATAATGATCCGATACAGACTACTGTATAACGAGAAATGTTCACCATTTTCCCTCTACGTAATGAGGGCGCATTTATTATTACAGCGAACATTTGTAAACATTATCATAAACATCGTAATTAAATGTGAAGGGCAAATCTAATATTGGGGGAAGATGGATTTTACCATCAAAGGGCGAAAATAGGACTTTGCGGGAAAAATCCAAGTATACAGTATCATGATTATGGTCTGATATTGACGGTGTCTTATTATGATGGTTTCATACATTGATGGTCACATGGAAATGAAGGTTGCAATGAAGTTATTGTTGTTGTTGTTGTTCAGGGTTGAATGTCCTATCAAGTATCACCAGCTAATGTCATTTAAGGATGTTCAGATTAAAACTGCTTTATATTTCCCAGGATGAAACTGTATTTAAATTTTGTTTTCACCAGGTACACCCGGGACTGGCGCTACCATAAGGAGGAAAGGGTCTGGATAACACGGGCACCAGGTTTGGAGCCGATTGTGAAGACTAACACATATGAGCGTGGTACATATTACTTCTTTGAAGCACAGGGCTGGCGGAAGGTGCCGAAAGAGTTCCATCTTGAGTACGATAAGCTTGAGGAACGCCCCACGTTACCCTCCACCTTGCACCATAGTGCCAGTTAGCAGGGCACGGCTGACCGACGAGAGCCTCCCATATTTAACTCGGCCACGTGCAATGGACATGAGTGTGTGATGGACGAACTTGTGATGTGTGTGAGGGTATACAAGTCGCAATCTGGTTCACACTGGTTGAAGAATAAACCCGACAGATCCATATATATTGAGAGTTTAGCAGTGGTAGTAGGTAAAATAAATAATTTCAAGCGAATCTTACTATGAACTGTGTTCAGGTGTTGCAGTATAAAAACCCAGGTTTAGACAAAATGACATTGGCTAACAAAGTTAGTGCTGCATTCCAAAAAAAGCTTAAAGGGAATTTCATATAATTCCTGTTACTTATAATAATGGGTAATTCATTGTACATTAGAACATATAAAATGACTTTTAAAACTCTGCGTAGTAGGTTAAATAGAGCAATTAACACGTCTTATATTTCATAGTGGAATTTTGTGAACTTGCAGAGGTCCAATAACGGATGTTTCTTTTGTTCCAACGTTTTGATTAAAATAACCATCAACTTTCATACCCGTTTATAAGTGCTAGTCATAACAATTTCAAAGAAAACAAGCAATTGGTTTGATAGTATTTGATTGTATTTTGTTTCTGAAGAAAGAAGCTAAACAGTTATGCAGTTGAAGGTTTTGGATACTGAATAGATGGAATTTAACCCATTCACCCCTGAAGACACATTTGAACTCCACCAATTCAAAGGGTGGAATAGGTCATTATGAAATTTCAGGGGTGAATTAGTTAAATCATGGACAAAACTTAACTTGTCTTGGCGCAAAGGGTTACTGAAAACTGTAAACATGAATTTAGATCCACGGGGGTTTTATCTAAAGGCACGTGTGGAACCAGACTGGACACAGACTTGTACTTTGTAAGTTTCTCTCTTAGGGAGATCACTTGTAACATTTTCATCTGTAAATAAACATAAATCGACAGTGACCCTGACTTCATTGTGATTTTTAACTCGCCTGGTTCTTAGGGCCAAGTGGGATTTTCTGGTTACATATCATCGGTATGTTGTTATTGGCCGGATTGCAATGCAATCAGGGCTTATAGATTGGTGATTCTCTTCCGTCCGTCTGGCTGCACTCGGGTTAAGAAGAAGGGTTAAGCTAAGTTTCAAAGCTATTGATTACCCCACATCAACTAAACTTGCATGGCTTACAGTGTATCTGAGAATGCGAATCACATGGGTTGCTTCGCATGCTGCTGCAGATGCTGCATCTGACCTTCATTTTCCGCTTGACTGACCAGGTTAAGAAGATTTGTTTAGGTCACTTACCAAGTTACTGCTTGTTCTACATCAACGAAACTTACATGGCTTATGTATCTAATGATGCTTATCAGATGCAATGCTTTACACGAAAATGTACTGTAGCTATCCGGCCACATCGCCATTGGCGGTTTCTTGTTTTCTCATAAAATGCTACCAATTCAAAACGGCTGATAGGAATTTTTAATATTGAACCAAAAATAGTCTGGAGCATACTTTTGCAAAGAGGACTCACGTTTGTATAAATGAGGGTTTGACCTACTTCGTACAGAGGGGTTCAATAGCGGTAATCAAGATAAAATTAAAATTCTACTCCTTCTATATAGTTAAAGTGATTTTAACATTATTTTGATTGGAGCATAGTAAGGCTACAAAAAACGCTAAAATAAGACTACTAATAAAATATGTACATTAACAATATTGTTTTGTGGTTCTTCTTAGGGCAGAGGGTGTGACTAAAAAGGAGAAATATAAAATATTTTTAAAGTCTACTACATTGGATCTTAACTGTACTTAGTTTTGAGCTGGTTGGCCAAGGGGACTCGTTGTTATTATGATTATGATTATGATTATGCTGTGTTGCTGTGACCGTCGTGAACTTTTTTTCTTAAACAACATGAATAACCAGCATCGTTCTAGAAGCTTGCTGTGAAGACCACCAGGTTTGTTCAATTGAATGACCTTGAACAATTGTAAAGGTCACATGGGTCAAAGTTGGTAAAATGTATAAATAAACTCCTGAGTAACAAAGAATTCTTGTTGAAACCTTTAAACCAGCCTGTTATGAGTAACCTGGATACATAGGGTCATGCTATTTGTAGCAAGTTTATATGGAGGTCTGTCGGGTTTGTTAAAATCTGAATTAAGTTATAATAAGCACTATCAAGTTTATTCGAATGAATGATCTTGACTCACTTCCAAGGTCAAAGAGATCAGATGTATAGACATTACAAAAATTTCCTCTGAATTACAAAGAGACATGGCGTTTGTACTGTAGTATGCTTTGGTCTTTCAAGTTTGTTTTAGTAAGTGACCTTGACCCACTTTCAATGTAATTTTGGTACAAAGTAGTAAAAACCCTTTAGACTACAATGGCCAAGTGCAATGGTTCTGTATTTGGCATATATCATGCTGGGGTGAATTACCTTGACCAATTTTCAGGTTCAAATGTGTAAAAACTGAAACTATAGTACAGGCAGGTTTAGCCTCTTATTTGAATTTTATCTTTCGCATTCTTTTTAAATAACTATGCGTCAATAAGTAAAAATTAAAGAGACAGAACATGGCATAAAAACAAGTATTTGTTATAAAAACACAATGTACAAATCTTATATATTCTAACATTTATTTGAAGTTGGGTTTCAGCTGGCCTGAAATGATGTCCAAAGTTGAAATATGAAACATGAGGCAATCTTATTTCAGTTTGATATGGTCAATCAGGGAGTTAGGCGCTAGCAGGGACACATCTCATCAAATATGTATAAAGCCTTTCTGACATTGAAACAAGAATTTATTTTAAATAAAAAAATGAGTGCGCTAGTAATTGATTTTCGATACAATGCAAGGTATTTTAAATTTATTTATATAAATTATAAATATGATAATTAATTATTGTTAAATTAAATTTAATATTTATGAAATCATCCATGATTGCCAACTCTCTCAATTTAGGAGAGAGACTACCGATTTGGGAACTATAAATTTAGCATACCAAACCAGTGAATTTGCTATTCTAAGATCTAATTATTTTGTCTATAAGGGGTGTATACATACATTTATTAAGGTTTAATTTGAGCATTCAGAATCTTCACCATGGAAATTTCAAAAACTTGGCAAGTACACAATAAGTGTACTGTATTATATATGATCATATAAAAAAGAATCATGCGGAAAATCGGTCAGATAGTCACTTATCTATATATAAAGATCCCACGAAACATGAACGGAAGTAAATATATATGCTGTAAAGCCACACTTAACCTTGTTCACATATAAGAAGTTAGTGCTCCTTGAAAATTGAGGTTGGAGGGTGTTACACAAATATACGGAAACCGGTACTCGTGTCCCATTGGTTACCATAACTTTACTGACGTTAAACACTTGTGAGGTTCACCTGTACCTGACACGTGATCTGGGATGTATATTTAAATATATATATACACAGTGACAAGGTACAAAAGTTTACAATTGTCAGCTATACTGCAAACAACTGTAAAATTAATCATTAAGGACTCGCACAACTAAATCAGCCAATCAGCAAGTGCTTCATACGTTTGTATAGTTCCTATCTAAAATAAGTTCCGGCTAATTACTGGGCCACTGAAGGAGTTTCATAAGGAATTGATGACAGATTTTTAGATAAATGAAATGTTCAGGTATTAAACCTTTGACAAATGTATACTTTTGATATATTTCCATGTCTGTGTGCGAATTGCACAGGGGCAAAATGTCTGGGGGCGTTTCTGTTTTGGGTCACCGGTTTTGCTTGTAAACTTCCGGTTGTCAACTTCTTGGCGCTGTGACACTCCAATATGCCACTAAACCTACCAAAAAAGTCATTTTGTAGCCTTTGCAAGGTATGTATTTATGAATCTAGACAGTTTTCATTGGTTTTGAACTTCAAATATTAAAGTTATTAGCTAAAATGTTTGGTAATAACATATAGCAGGGACACTATACGTCCCTGGTTGTGTGCATGTACGTAGGGCAGAGCGGGGTAAGTCAGGCCAGACCTTGATATTTTTGCCTCGGGTTGGGTGCGGCACGTTTAGTCATCTGAAGTTCCGACAGAAAAAGCTAAATAATTCTTCAAGTACGGATGGATTTGCTCTTTTCTTATAATTCTATGAAAGGCGTGGATTTTTCTCTTCAAAATGGTGTACATACAGCTCGGAACGACTTGAATAAAAATTGACCGATCTTGCCCCGGTGTCCCCTACTAAAGTGGCTTCATACAGCAGCTGAATGTAAAATCTCATTAAAATCACATCGATTTCTGGAATGTAATACTTGTTATATAAGCATACCCTTTTGTGTATTAAAGGTCTGAAATTCCTGAAAACCCTTTTGCTTAAAATCCCAAACCTAGAGCGAGTCAATTCGGAATCCCCCCTATCTGGAATAGTCCACAGTGTCGCGTACTTTCTTTCAACACTGCCCCTCCTCGTGTTCCTCCTCCCCGTTAATAATATACGAACACATATTTATTGATACGTTGTCTTTTATTCCCTTCCTGCACCTACTCACTTACCACATGATTCCATATTCTAGTGCAACACCCTCACTTTACACTCTCGCTTTGTGAGGAGCTTCCACAAGGAGTACACACAATGAAGGCAAATTTAATTACCTTTGATACTGAAGCAAAACGAACCAGTAACGGGTAACATAACACTCATCATTTTGAAAGTCAGTGTCACAGTCGTCGTTACAAGTGTCTATTATCAATCGAAATATCTGAAAAAGGCGGTATTGGCAGTGAAATGGACACAGTCTGTCGAGTCTAATTAAAGTTAAAGATGGACCCCCACCTTACTCTTTCAATGCAAAAAGGAAGTGCATTTCTGGTGTGTATACAAAAATGCTTGGCATCGTTGGAATGATAAATAATTTTTCTTTCGTTGGCCTTCTTTTTCCAAGAAAGGGGTATTCTCTTAACACAGGCATAATTTGCATTTATCACAAAACTTGCCATTACGATGTTTTGAATCATCAACAGACGAGAGTATGACGCATTAACGCCGGAAAATCAATTTTCAGATGAAAAAAATCTTATTTCTTCTTGAAGCCTCTCGTTCTTTGATGACGACTCTTTGTTGTGAAATCGCTAATAGTCCAAAAAGCGCAACCAATAAGATCTGAACTATTCATACGGGCCCTTCGAGCTTACCTATCGGTGTTGGCGGTATCGTATTCCTTAGAGCATTCAAACGGCGTTATATATTTGGGATGAAACCGTGCCTGCGAAATGCAATTTGATTTTGCTTAGCAGCTATAGGTAAGTGAAAGTAAAGTAAAACATCTCTCCAACGATGTCAAGCATTTTTGGGCCACCAAAAAAGTTATTTTTGCATCTGACTAGAAAATTCAGTCAGGTTCATTTTCAAAACTTCTAAAGTTTGTATCCTTTCTGCGTATACAGTCCTTCGCGGACAGTATTATTGCAAATGTTGATCTTGATCCGTAAAACGTCTAATAATACTTCCTTTACAATAGAAAAAGGTTAAAACACCTGTGATAAGTATTCCGGCTTGTGAGTACAGGAAGGTGCATTTGATATGGAGTATACAAATTCCCTACAGTCCTCGTCATAATAATGGCGCGACAGCCACGGTAAGAAGAACACGTCTGTTTCCAAATATCGTTACGCTAGAATATCCAGATCTGGTCTATCACTTATCTGATTTTACCATTATATCAAACCATTGTTTTTTAATCCAGATATTGTTTCCAGGAACGAGGGAAGAGACAGACAAGAAAGACTACCTACATCAAGGGATCACTTTTCGGAATCCCAATTGTGGCTTTTTATCACGTTTGACATAGACACAAGCTCTGTCACACAGCCTCAGCGTTCGTCCACGTATCCAGCGCTCGGCCGATAGTTGGCGTAATCCGAATCTTGTGAGGAGTGTTGTCTTGTTTTTCCACACCCACAAGGTAGTGTATGTTCATCAATGGGAAGGTAATCGTCGTCGTCTTCTTTCAGACGACTACAATTGTAATAGTCCTCGTTAACAAAAGATGCCTTTGTAGTCATCGGCAGATAGTACTCATCCTCCGAAACACACTCACTAGGGCATTGTTTAACGTTACACTCGCTGGTGGATCCCGAACTATACGGACTTGTCTTCTGACTTTCACCGGAGCGACCGGAAGCATCATATGCATCCGGAAGTGACGTAACCGTATTTTGTGTAGCTTTGACACAAGCAAAATTAGTTTTCATTGAACTAGTTTGTCTTTGGAGTGATGCTAAGTATGAGTAGTTATCTTTGATTTCTGGCAATACGTATTCGTCATCTTCCGATAGATTTTTCATTGGTAAATAGTCCTCAGCACTTTCACCATCCATAGGTAGATAGTCCTCGTTATTCATGTAATGGTTGTCTGCCTCCAAAATTGGTTCTGAATTTTTCAATGTACTTTCAATCTCAGACTGACCGTTAGTACGGTTTCCATGGCTTGACCACTGTATAGTAGCGATCTGTCTTGTGGGACTAGAGTGACTGTCCCCAGTCGCCTCTGTCTTAGTCATGGTGATTGGCGTCGCAACCGAAGACGCTGTCTCACACAAGCCGTTCATGTAAAGGAAAGTACGGACATTCGATGTTAGCTTGATCACTAGTAAATCGCTGTCGTCTGCTGCCTCGTTTTGACCTGCTGCTTTGCTAGTTTGTTTACATTTATCTAGTTTATGATGAGACCACCCTCTGTCATCTTCGATACATGGTTGTGACGTCATGGCCGCGGCTGGCAGGATCTGCCACTTACTAAAGGCATCCATCACGTGACGTCTGTAGGCGGAATAAGACATAGTGTTTTCAGGACCGTTCGACGAAGTTGATTGGTTGCTGTGAACGAAATAAACAGTTTTAGAAAATGAATTTATTATATTCCGAAGTAAAAACCAGTACATTGTGTCACGATATAATTGCAAGGTAAGTCAAGGTACCAAGAATGTAACGTCGCACCTTCCACTGTAACAACGTTACTGATTTTATCTGGGGTACAGTCAAGAAAATATTATTTAGCCGTGTTTTATAAACAAATTTATGAATTATAGATATATGCAAAAACAGCACTGAAGTTTTCATTATCATTTAGTTCGTAAGCACGAAGGACACTGCACGCGGCATTCTTTTAGTATTGTGCTGAGGCATGAAATGGTAATTAAAGACCGTTGATTACAAAAATTATAGTTTCTGTAATGATATTGATACAAATATAGCTCCTTTTTTGAAGACAAGAATTGTAATAAATGTACGATTGAACTACAGTAGAGGGAATCGCTGCAGCATGCAATACGATTAGTTATGCTAAGTCCATGGTTGCAGAAAACCTCATAAAAAACCCCAAGTAAGTTGAGGACTTACCATGGCGACTGCGGGGGGCATGCGCTGATGATGTCACATTGGACAGCTTGTTCAAATTTGACCAGGTACACATAATCAGCGTCATTGGCCTCGTTGGTCTGAATAGCAGCGTCCTCTGTCACTACGGGGAAGTCTGAAGATAGTCGGCATTTATTGTACTGAGCAATGTTATTACAGACACTTACGGAGAATGAGTGGAGAAGCGCTATTTGACACCCATTTATGAAAAATGAGTGAAGAAGCGATATTTGACACATATTGAAGAATGGCTGAAAACGCGATATATTTGACACCAATTCTTAAGGAATAAAGAAGCGATATTTATACCCATTCTTGAAGAATGACTGAAGAAGCAATATTTGACACATATTCTTGAAGAAAGACTGAAGAAGCAATATTTGACATATATTCTTGAAGAATGAGTGAAGAAGCGATATTCGACACATGTTCTTGAAGAATGAATTACGAAGCAATATTTGACACATATTCTTGAAGAATGACTGAAGAAGCGATATTTGACACAAACTCTTGAAGAATGAGTGTAGAAACGACTACTGGAGAGAAAACTACACTCGTTCCCTCAGAATGAATGGAAAGGGCGATGTTTAGCACTCGTTCCAGGAGAATGAGTGAAAATTGTAATGTTTCACACAAAACGTGTCAAAAATCAATGCTTCATGGCTTAAATACTGGAATCATGGGCAATATATATGACAGGAAAGAAGCAACCCTGTGTGTGAACATAGACAATTGTATCATTGTATGAAAAAAATGTACACTGAACACGATAATGACGTGGAGTGATGTATAAAATCTAATAATAATAACCCTGTAATGTGTACAGCAGAGGATCTATGGGTTCTCCAGTGATCCTCTGTGGGAACCAGAGGAAACCCCTACCCTTAAATACGCTGTCACATTTCTGCTATCAATACGGATACAGGCAAAACTCCAGGACATGCAAATGTATTTCGACCAAATTTTAATATCATCAGATTTACGACAATTTAATATCCATTTTCAATTTTCATCACTTTTTGTCGGACATATCAAAATTGACGAATAAAAAGCAGCATGAATAGAGTCGGAGATATGCCCTTATTTACGTCCATTAAAGGGGTTAAAATGCTTATACAAAGATATATATATATATACTTTTTTATGTAATTCGTATCCTACGGACATACCTCCATTAGGATCCAGTGTTATATGGGATTTTACCGTCTATATTACTTCTTTGACCCATATATATATATATATATGTATAGGATTTGAAACAAGATTCCATTTCATACGAGATATTTGAAACAAGTGGAGAGGTTTTTCTTTAAGCAAGATAGTGTAACGCTGAAAAGAAAACTTCATGACAAGGTTTATAAATATCATATGAATTGGAAACAGACCAGACATGTTTTCATCCTACAGATGTTACAAGTCTATATTGAAGTTTTTGACGTTATCTGTAATAACCAATGATTGTAATGTGTACCGCAGATGCTTTTTGGTTCTACTTCGGGAACCAGAAGAATAACCACCCTTCTCCCACTCATCCTAATTTTGTATGGACCCCTAATCAGTCACAATTCTGCTAATACCTAAGTAGGCAACTTATTATTTGCATAACTCCCAATCGGGAACAATCGGCACTTTCCGTAAACGAGAAAAATACTACATTTCCTCGTTTACGGAAAGTGCCGACGGTTCCCGATTGAAGCACTCCATGGCACAAAGTTGGAGACATGTCCCTGTATGTACCTGATAGAGGTTAACATTCTGATATACTGATGAGACACACACATTTTCATATATTTTGTTTTAAATTAAGAAACTCGTCTTGTTTAGCTAACAAATGGGACTGCACATATACTCACCAAACTTTGAGATTCTACAGTATACGCCGCTCTCGCCGTCACTCGTTATTGGGGCCACGGAGGCCACACTTTCCGGGGGTCTCCGATCAAAAACCCCACCCCGGGAACAGTATTCCCGTGGGAGGGACTCTCGTCGTGGTGTATACGGAAGTCCTTTTTCCGTATCAGTTTCATCGCTATGCAAGAATAAAATAAATGTTATTGTTGAATTTGTATATCATTCATGGAAAAATTCAGTCTTTGCTCGGGAGACACCAAAGCAAAAGGAAAGAAAACAGACACCATGACAAAAGGAAGGACAAAACAAGGAAAACAAATGAGCAAACAAGAGAGAGAGAGAGAGAGAGAGAGAGAGAGAGAGCACCCACCAAACAAAAGGGGAGTAAAAACAGGAAAAACACCAAAACAAGAGGAAAGACAGCAACAGGAAAGACAACATAAAGAACTGAGGAGACACCAAAACAATTAAAGAGGGGGAGGGGAGGGAGGAGAAATAAAAGCCGGGGAGACGCCAACACAGAAGGGTAAAATACCAGGAAAACACTAAAACAAGAGGAAAGACAACTTAAGGAACTAAGGAGACACCAAAGTAACAGAAAAGACAAAATGAAAGCCGAGGAGACACCAAAGTAACAGGAAAGACAAAATAAAAGCCGAGGAGACACCAAAGTAACAGGAAAGACAAAATAAAAGCCGAGGAGACACCAACACAATAGGGGAGGAAAACCCATGAAAAACACCAAAACTAGAGGAGGAATAACAATAGAAACCGAAAAGACACCAAAACAGAAGGGAAAACAACATCAGGAACTGAGGAAAGCAAAAACAAAAGGAAATACAACAACCGGAACTAAGGTAAACATGGATACCTTGAACGCTAACGTTAGTAAACCACGCTGTTTATATCGTATGCAGGTAGGGATAATTGAATTAATACAAATCGAAACTACATTATTATAATGTTTTGAAGACACTGTTAAGCTATCACAAAGATCGTACCTAGCCTGACAGCTTTTGACGACAAACATGATAAGGAGTCCTGCGATGAAACCCAATACTCCTGCTCCGACAGAACCTGCAATATACGACAGAATTAACTGCGGTAATTAAATAACGTTAATTTCGCCCTTCACAAGTAAATACTATACATTGGATGTTGTGCACTATAATATTTGCTCTACTGATAAATTCACCCTAATTGGGAGGGCAAAAATAGCTTAAGTTAAACTGCAGTGAAAATTTCCCGTATGACAGTATAGTCTCACCATTAAATAGTTTACTTATAAATATGGATGTAAAATTACTCTTTACTAAAAGTGAATATAAATATAAATATACTAATTATTAGCGTAAGGCGAGGATACAAAATCTAATCAAAAGGATACTAAATAATATAGTAAAGCTTTGTCACTTTATCCTGTCAAGATTTTAGAAGACACTAACATGTTAACCCTTTATTTTACATAATTGTTCCAATAATACCGCGGCCCTATCATGGTGTAGCATCTAAAGCTTCGAAGAAAGATGGCTGTATTACCAGGGCTACATTTCTATGCTAGATAAGAGTTGTTTAGTATAAGAAGTATGGATACTTACAAATGGCCACTAGAACATTTTGTCCAACCATTGTTAGGCCGATCGGTACATGTATGCTGTAAAGGACAAAAAAAAATATATTTGAGATTCGTTCATCCAGCTACCACTTCTCAACTACCACTAATATGATTGTCTCACTGCCCAACACTCACTAATCCGGGTTTCTCACTGCTCATGCAACTACCACTTAACCGGTTTTCTCACTGCTCAACTACCACTAATCAGGTTGTCTCATTGCCCAACTACCGCTTATCCGGTTGTCTCATTGCCCAACTACCGCTAATCCGCTTTTCTCACTGCCCAACTACCCCAGCCAAGACTAATCCGGTTTTTGTCCCCATTAGCTACCACTGGTCGGGTTACACTATACTATCCAGCTACAACTTATCCATTTTTTCCATTATCCAGCCACTACTAATTTGGTTGTATCACTATCCAGCAATCGCTAGTTCCAGCTTCCACTGAACCGGTTGTCCCACGATCCAGCTACCACTGAACCGGTTATCCCACTATCAAGCAACGCCTTATCTGGTTGTCCCACTATCAAGCCACCGCTAATCTGGTTGTCCCACTATCATGCCATTACAAATACTATTATCACAAATAATCCGGTTCTCCCATTATCCAGCCATCCGTCATCTGGTTTTCCCATTATTCTATCACTGTTTAAGGTAACAGATCGTCGTTTTTCTATGCAACATTATCCCAGCAGGCAAGCCATCTTGCTATCCACCCCCGTTTGCTGAGAAAGAAAGTTACTTGACGATCGATGCCCCGGATATTGGTGGCTGGACTATCGAGGTTCCGGACAGTGTATCGCACCTCCGGACAATGTTGGCTACACAATTATATATCAACACATACAGTATAGACGCTGGACATTACCTGAGACGAACGGAAAAGACCAATGTGTTCTATTTTGTGACCGGTCAGGTACACTGTCAGTCACTGTGTGAACATCTTTATATATATATAGAGGATGTTACTAAGAGGTGTCAATAAATGATGACAAATGTCGGATGCTGACGTACATTATTTTCCAGGATGCGGTTTGTGTTATTTCCAGTTTCAGCGAAAATCACAAATTGAATACAGAAAAGTACACCTTTTTTATAACTACGAGATATCTATCTATCCAAATTCGAAAAGTGCTCGGAGACTGCAATTTACGAATTATTATCTTTCACACACAAACATAGCAAAAACTTTTTTCTCAACTTGTATATACAGTATATATATATGTTTGCATCTTCACAAAGAAGCACAAAAAAACAAAAGAAAACATTATATATAACTAATACACTCTCTAGGTCTCGAACTCCCGTTCTACGCCACCAAATCGCCTAGCTGCAAAAACACATTAAGCGGGAATACAGGGTATCAGTGTCGCTAATTGACGTCGAGATAAACGGGTATTCGTTGCATCATTATCAGCTTGAACGGAGTTTGACTGAACTGTGTTTATCCCATCACCATCCTCGATACACCAGCTAGGGGTTACGCTCATGGCGTAAGTGATCTTAACCCCTGGAGTATCGAGGATGTTCCATCACAAGTCAAAAGCGAGTATATGATTTTTTTCTATTGGAGTTCACATAGTGATGTTAGGGAGACCCACTTAGCCAAACATCTGTCAGTACGCGCCACTGATTTTTCCTCTCCTAGGTCTCTTGTCGTAAATATCTGCGTTTGTTGTAAGATTATATAGTAGCTATAAATATGTATTGTCGTTGACATAAAGAACAGGGTGCTGTGTAATTTGACGTTTATAAATACATTTAAACATAGTGTAATCTGAGGGTCATGTACGGACTAGTTGGTACGGAAGTACAATGTACCAGCAAGAACTGAATACACAGGAGAAAGGTACAAGGTATTGGGATGTGATGAACTTTTGAAAAGCAGAAAAAGGGCCTTGTAGTCGCCACAAAATATCATGGGGAAAAACAGCATTTTCCCGCATGTACGTCACTTTCTGTTTAGTAAAAAAGTAGTATTTTACTTTAGAAATGGTTACTTAATAAACAAGATCCGCCCTCTGAATTTTTAATAAATGAACAAAATGATGGTTTGGTGACAGTCCCGTTATTTAAAACTCTAAAAAGTATTACTTGTGGTTGAATCAGTTAATAAACTGAAAGGCAATATATCTTTGTGTGTATTGACACGTCGAGGCACAGGTAAAGCCTGGAACACTTCATTTCGATGTAGACACAAAAATCATACATGGTGCTGGTAAACCTTACAGCCAATCGGGGTAAGATTTTGAAGCATTATATGGTAATAGTACTGCATCAACCATTTGAAGGGTTGAAGCCCTATCCGGATATGCACAACCGCCTACACACACTTACTCTCGCCACATTAAAACTTTCTGGAAACCGCCATCCGGCACACCATTTTTTCTTTTATCTAGCCCGAGTGTCAATTACCGATTGAAAAGCCACTCCGTAAATGTCCTTAATGTTTAGTAACACTGAGAAAGTCTTGAAATTTTTCTGAAAGAAATCGCAGATCAAAACTTCAGCAGGAAGTCCGCGTTACACGACAATAGTGGACAATGGCGACTTCCGGCCTAAACTATCTTCGCGGCTGTACTTCAGGGCCCAGTTGTTCAAACGTTGATTATAGCTTAATCTTTCGACATCTTTCAACCTTTAATAATTTCTTCAATATACAATGTAAAAACTCGTTATGTTACGTGTACATTTACTCTACTAAATACTTTATATCTGGACATTTTGAACTAGGTTGATTATTGGATTTCAAAGATACACAAAAATTGAAATTTGCACTAATCACTGATTAAGCTAATCACCCTTTGAACAACTGGGCCCAGATGTTATTTCACTTACAAAATAATATTATATCATGTGCGGAAAACCTATAATTTTTCTAGTGCTGTTCCAAAATAAGGTTCTGACTCAAGTTGTCCCTAAACTTCAAATATCGAACCCTTGCACGTGTCTACCAGCAAATTTGTTCAAACTACATGTATCAAATGCTGTTGCGCTCATGGCACACTAGTTTGCACTTCATAGCCAGTCGTCCTTGAAAATGTATGGTATACTATCTAGTTATATATTCCCATGGGCTTTGCGTCACGGGCCTTGTAGTGAAGGGTCCGTCGGGGGAGGAGGTATTGGGACAATTGATGACACAGACATCAAGAATGTTAAAATGTCTCTTGTCTACTTTGACACGTAACACAGTTGTTTACCTCGTGTCAGTGGATAAGTCAAGTGTTGGTATTCAAAACGTGGTTCACTGGAGACAAATACAGGTCTCTGAGTACAGGGACTCAAGTCTTTGATCACAGGGACTCGACACAAACACGGGTCTCTGAGCACAGGGGTTCAACACAAACACGTGTCTCTGAGCACAGGGACTCAAGTCTCTGATCACAGGGGTTCAACACAAACATGGGTCTCTGATCACAGGGACTCGACACAAACATGGGTCTCTGATCACAGGGGTTCAACACAAACACGGGTCTCTGATCACAGGGACTCGACACAAACACGGGTCTCTGATCACAGGGATTGGAGACAAAAACGGGTCTGTGTTCACAGGGGCTCAACACAAATAAAAGGCCGCTTTCGTTTATCGCGATCCAAACGATTGTACCGGTTGGACCAGAGTTTTTATGAAATAAGGTCGGACCTAGTAATCTGATACTGCTTTCAAGCGCGCCCTGAAAAACCTTACAAGGCCTTCATAAACATTTGCAGGTCAGCCAGGATTTATACCAGAAACTTTTACTTTTAAAAAACGAACAGGTCCCAGGTCTCTTATCACAGGCATGTACAGGGACTCGACACAAACATAGTTACATGTATCTGATTACAGGGGCTCAACACAAATTCGGGTATCTAGTCACAGGGACTCGACACATATACATGTCCCTGATCACAGGGACTTGAGATATTAAACTGATCACAGGGACTCGACGCAATTTATGGTCTTAGAATTGTACGAATATGTATTGAAACATTTTCTTATATTTCAGCAAATCCGTTCGTATCAAGGTTCGTTCTTAACAATACATATGTTAGGTGTAAAGATAACATGGTATGTAAAGAAATTGACGAGTTTTTTTATGAACAGACTAAGTTTTGAATAATTAGAATGTATTTGATTGATATTTTATTATTTTGTTACCATATTTGATTGATATTTTATTTTGTAACCACAGATTGAATCGATTCCTTGTGCTCTCGTGATCATATATACATACTGATAACAACAAGACTCTGATACAAGTACGTAAAGTTTTACATAAAATTTAAAATCTTATTTTTAAAACACGCTTCCTCATGAAATCCATCAATATGAAGAATTTTCTAAATTTGCAAAGTGACGATTAATGTTGTGTGTTCAAAATTGTTTGAGGATTGAACCTTGCTACGGCTTAGTTCGTTAAGTGATGCACTAAGTTGGTTTTGTGTCAAAATAAACTAATTGTGACATCAATATTTCTACTTTATATTCTGAGAAAATGGCAAGTAACCTGTCTGTTTTATTAATGAAATGAAATAGAGTTTCCATGGCAACGTGAATATGACAAATACAAAAATGACGTCACTATTACCTCTTTACGCTGAAATTTCCGACATGATCTCTGATTTTCAGCCATGTATAGATTTCATTACTTTCCCGTCTTTCACTGTACTTTCAATATTTTTTCATACATTAAAAAAACCTACGGTGGTGCATTTAAAACATGCACAATATTATTTTACATTAAATATCCCGAGCGCTCGACATATTTTTTCGAACTATCGTACAAAAAAATACAAGATCTTAAAATTCTTATTATGGTCAATATCTTTGCAAGAGTGATATGTAAAAAATGACTTAGTTGTAACTATATATGTGTTATTTTTTTACATCCAATGATCTTGACTATGATTTTATCCTGAAATGCCAGTGGTGATAAATGATTGTGACGTCATTTTCCATTGTTGTCGCGTTCACATTACGGTCAACTGCAACATGTGGTGAATTAGTCCAAAAACTTTCACCATAGTAATATATTAAGATTCAACTCTAAAAAAAGTATTTATTACATTAACTAACATGAGAGTCCATTATGAATATCTTACCTTTAATAAAACAACGTGTTTCTGTTTTCTTAGCGTCTTAGAGGGTTTTCTTCAAACTACACTCTCACAAGCACACACTCTAGTAAGTAGCTGGTTTTCTTCAAATCCCAAAGCCACTAAGCTTTTGTATCTCCCTCGTCCGTTATCCAGATACTTGTCTTTTGAAAAGTGTAGTCGTGTCTAGTCGTATATATTTGCATATATATAAAAGTGAAACTGTTCAAGTGGGCGTATATATAATACATATACAACATGCATAGCGATCGCCGCTAAGGATGATCCAGAACAAGATAGCAACAGTCTTATACGTGAAGTGTTTTCCTCAACCGTTCATGTACTTAACTGTAAAAAGGCTGCATACAGGGAAGTGTTAGTCAACATTTAGGGGAGTGCTTCCGTCAGGGGAATATATATATGATCTGTCAAAAGATTATAATCATGCAGGGTTATGTTTGAATAAATTTACATCCGAGTTTAAACAAGTGTGGCAGATTTTAATTGTACATAGGATTAAGGTCGCCTTCTAGTATCGAGCTATAGAGAATTTCCCTTTAGCTCAGTGGTAGAGCGTCCGACTAGGAAGTCCGAGATCGCGGGTTCTATCCCCTGTAGAAGCACACTACTCTCTCTCTCTCTCTCTCTCTCTCTCTCTCCTGTTACACAAGTTTTCATTTCATATACTATCAGCTTACGTTTTCCTCGAGAAAACTGCAATGCAAGTTCCATCAATCTATTCATATTTAAAATAAACAAAAATTCAAAATACACAAGTGTATACGGTATGTTGTGTTTATAGTCGGATATGCAACACATGTAAACAAAACTGACGAAGGAAGACATTATATTTTCGCTTGTCCCATGTCCCGGTCTCGAACTCACGATCTCGTAATCATAGTGTGACAAGTCGTCTGTTGATGTAGAGATCATTGGGCTGATGACCATTACACCATCAAAACCTCCTTTTACAGGAGGGCCGCGACAGTGTAATGCATGCAGTTATATATATAAGATATGTCGTGTGACGTCCGATAATATCATATTGATGTAACAGTCGAGCCAATGTACTTTTGATGTTAAGTTTTTAAATAAAGAAAAAAAGTGAATAAAAATCATGTTTAATATACCGCATTTATACTGGAATGCAAGTGTTCCACGTTTTGGTCAAAGCGGCAGATCGCAGTGGCGGATCATATCCAGAGACCTATCGGGGGGGGGGGGGGTTCCATATGTTGGAAAATTGAGGAAAATGGTTCTTGGTTTTTTAAAGAATATTCTCAGGGTGGGGTGGGGGTTCTTGAAGCCCAACGACCCCTCTGGATCCGCCACTGCTTTTGTAAAGCACTCTTCAGTATATACATTTCTACTTTTAGTTCTTTGAATACCTGAGTTTGCGCTGGCACAATGGCATTAAGTATATATCACATGACATATTGGCGCACACATCCATGTACGTACGTGTTCTCTGTTTATACAATGACGAGACTTTAGACACATGCAGTTATCGATCTCTCGCTATCGATCGTGATTTGGCACGAGGTCTTTTGTCACCTTGGCCCTGTGACGTCACATCTCTTTAGAATCGATACGCAAAAGTTATGCTTAAGAAATCGATACTATTGTCATGAATATTAACCAATAATGTCTTCTGATTGGCTGCTGCTACTAGCCTGTGTTAGGAAGCGAGAGGAACCAGTTCCATTCGTACAATCCAATATGGCATCCTCCACATGTTTGTGACCCTGACAGGCACGTGAGCTGTCCCCAGATCGTAACGTGACGAGCCGCTTCTTGTCCTTCGGGCAGTCTTTCATTCCTTCCTCGACTCGACCGTTCATAATGGATAACTACTCGTTTTCATTCCACACGCCATCATGGACAGACAATATTCGTGCTTTTCTCGGGCAATTCTTTGACGTTTTCAGTGCCTTCTCTAAGTACATATCTCCCTCCTATCACCACGACAGATGTGAAAGGTAAGTTCACTGTTGTCTGGAGTTCGAATCTGCGGATGAAGGATTGAACTAGGCCCGAAAGCCTTGTTCGATTTGAATATGTGCATTTATTCAACGTCCAAGCAGAAAATGCATGACTATAAATGTTTAAGCAGTTGATTCTGTTGTTTATATAGCATATAATGTTGAACATTCACACAATTTATCACCCTATACACTGCAAGTAAATAATTACTTGGCCCCACTCGCGTTTTGAATCAAGTGGACCTGCAATTATCATTTAACTGACCAAAAATAGATAAATATCAAATCTACATCCATGTCTTTTATTTTTAATTCTGCACCTATTCTATAAAGTGATGGCTTGTATAAGATGTGCCACGTTTTAACCATTCCAATGAAACGCCAAATATTACTCCACACACCATGAAATGCCTCGATATTATCAGTAGTATATACCTTTGTATAGTTACGTGTATCTACATGTATAGAAGACCTGTGCTTTTGCCTACGTATTTAATATTGCCTCGGGCTGGTGGCTTCGAAACAGTGTACTCATAAAAATAATACAAGATTCTCTATCTTTTTATTCAGTAAGCTTTATTATTTATTCGGGAGGTGGGATTCAACAATCAACGTGTACATGTGTGACAAAGGAGATTGATATAGCATATCAGCAGCTGAAACTTTAACCCTTTTGGTTCAAGCGTCTTATAGACGCAGTTGTCTACAAATCAATCTCAGGTAGATGCTTGTTAGGAAGCCTACACATTGAAAAGAAGAACTTCAGCGGGCACCAAACATTGCCAACATGACACCAGAAATCGAATCGTAAGATATTTACTATGCTATAGATTCACTACCAGGTTAATGATTTCAGTGCAATTTTACTTTTCGTAATCATTCAGACAGAAGTCAAATGAAAGTACGTCGTAGATCGATAATCAAAATAATCAACATGACTTGCTTCGTGTCATGTTGCCAAAATGGAAGATAATTCGGACACTTGGTTTCACTTCTTTTTCAGAGATATTTCTCCTATTGAATCTACTTATAAACTGCTGTATAGCAATCGCAGTGTAGAAATTATCATAATAAGTCCGTGGATATTTCCGTACAGAAAATTAACCTTCACAGTTGAATAGAATACAGTTTAATTGTTGCGGGTCGAGTTGTCTCTCATTTCAAGGCACGTACACATTGTTCCTTGGTATAAGATTGGTAATTAGCTATTATCATTATAAATTTTACATATTGTTGTAACAAAACTTCATTTTTCATTAAAAAAAAACCCTGATCTTAATTATTTCGAAAACATGGAAATACAATGAATTTTGAAAAAATGGGGAAGTGCACGGATAATGTAGCTTTGTTTCGCCCAGGGACGTATAAGCCTATATACTGTGCCAGGTTTCGCCACATTTAACAAGGAAATACAACGAATTTTGAAAATATTTGGTGAGAAAGTGAGAAAAGAAAGTTCACGAAAAATAGCTTTGTTTCGCCACATTTATCATTAACAAGTAAATACAACGAAATTTGAAAATATTTGGTATAGTAAGGACAGAAAGTTCACGAAAAAAGTTGGTTTTTTTTTAGTTCAAACATATTTTATTTGACAAAATCTCTAATATAATCAAAAGGAATTGGACACAACTTAGAAAACGTCCTCTTACTTTATTCTGTCACATCTATCAAATATGGTATTTATTTAATAAATAACACGGTAATTTTTTATATTTTAATAGATATCATACAATGTAAATATATTTTACCTGAAGTAGTATATATGCAATATTGTGTAATTGTATAATTTTGATATGGATACAAGGCTTAAACCTTGGGTCCATTACAATTCCTAATAAATTGTGTGCAGTATAAAACGACAATATGTAGTATTAGCAATATTAAACATGAACCCTAGACATTTTGGTACCTGGTAATTCTAAAACAAGGATAAGCTTTGTTGTTTCAGTAATTTATTGAAAAAACAAGTCATCAACATACAGACTCAAAAAGCAAACACACTAAAAAGTTGAAACATCATTTCAAGTGTTGAAAATCTGATAAAATTTCAAAAAGACTTTTAGAAATTTCCGAAACAGCTTGGTTATAACTGAAATGCCTGAGTACTGAAATGTCCGTACCCCATAAAAAGCATAAATAACTGCTTGGTTATAACTGAAATGCCCGAGTCCTGAAATGTCTGTACCCCATAAAAAGCATAAATTACTTGTGGAGGTTTTACGATTATATTGATAATGTTATTCTTCATTTCATGTTCTTGGAAAATATTAAAGAAGAGAATCAAAATATATATGTACTTGTTTGTATAAATTTGGACAAAAAAGATAACTATGTTTCCAGAAATAACTTAATGAAGACAATTTCTTCTGGAAATGAAATGTCTCTGGAATAATAGGATTTGAAGGGACATTTTACGTTGTACTAATAAAATGTATATGTCTTTCTGTAATTTCCAGGTCTGTTCAGATGCGTCTGTACTCCCTGTCCAAACGTCAGTTTGTGTCAGTCTTTATCATCTTCTTCTTCTGCTTTGGAATCACAGTGTTGGTGGGCGTGGCAGGTTTGTTGACATGATACAATGAAATAATACAACTGATAATTTACGGTCACATTTTAAGAACACAGATATTTGTGTCCTTGACTCATGCTTTTATCTATGTGACTCACCCAATTTTTGAGAATCTATAATATCCCTTAGTAATTTGATTCATTAAATTGTTGAAAAAGATCGATGTTCAGGACTTGCCTGATTGATTTTTTTTTTAAAAATCACTGTCAAAATGACATAGAGATGACTGGAGTATAATGTGTTTCTCCAGATCTGTGTACTGTGAGACTGCATGCATGCATATTTCTGTCTCAGTATTCCATGATAGTAACTAATGGAAAAATTGAAAATATATTAATATTTCCTGGAAGATTAAGAAATTTACTAACCAATATTACAAATTTCACAGAGGATTCAGAAATTATTACTAATCTAAATAACAACTTACATATCTAATGTATATAACACATTATATCACTAATGTATATATATAACACATTAAATTACTAATGTATATTACAAATTACATTAACTATCTATATAACAAATTACGATTACTAGTCTATATTTCATTTAACATTACTGAAAATAACTGATCTATATCACAAATTAAATTACTTAATCTATATGTATATTACAACATTACATTTCCTATCTATATAACAAATTACGTAACTAATCTTGTATATATAAAACAAATTACAATACTAATCTAAATCTATACTTCAAATTACATTGTTATCTGTCACAATGTACCATACATCGTCTACAAAACAAAACTTTGTGTAACTACATTAACCATTGTTTTATGAGCTGTCATTTATGATATTGAAAATTGTTTTATGACAAGAAAATAAGATTGTAATCAGGTTCATTTAGCACATACAGCCATTGAAATATGAATGAGGGCAACAGAGAACATAAGATATTGTACTACTGTAGTTATCAAAATGGTGCACATTAACATAACACTTGTGCTATATATATGAACCTCTGTACAGTCTATGATTTTGTGAGTTACTTTTGAAAATAAGGAAGTGCCCTTGATGTTGAAACATGATTCAGAGTACAGATATAGTACATTATGATTGAGTTACTTTGAAGCTTAAAGCCTGTATATCATTGATGAGAGCCGGGGAACTAGTATGAGGTTAAAATCCTGGTTGACACAGTGCATGTGTCCATTCATCTGATATTATGTCTATATATATAGTATAATAAATTTCATCCATATTTGAATATATAAAGGCTTATGAAAGTTAATTTCTTTTTACAGAGGGGGTTTATTTCATACATAGAGTACCTGGTACTAGTTTGTATGCAGATTTTGACAAATAAAACTACTATTATACTTAATACTATATGACTTCATCGTAAAAACAGAAATTTTTCATAAGCCCTGACATAACCTACTTGTCTGAAGCATCAAGCCGGTGGAGTTATTCACCCCTGATTTTACCAAGAATATGCCAAGTAAAAATGGAAAAGTAGGAAGAGTTTAATAAATGTCTGATAAAATTGAAACAAATTCAATTGAATGGGTGCTCAGTTTGCTTTGTTTATTTATTAATTTGAAATAAAACACGAAATCAAGTCTCCTGTCTGACTATAAAGAGAGTTACAGCCCTTTGATATCAATTGTAGTCCAGAGAATTGCTCATAGCACTTTGCCATGTTATTTTATTTGTAAGTATTTGTGTCAGTTTTCATGAAGGAACACAAAATTATATTTGCTTGGCCTAATTCTGACATTACATGTCGTATGAAAGATTTAGGATAGAAATTTGTCTTTAATCAGGTCCTCCGATCATAGACACTGTGTCACACAATGGTTCCCTGACCGTCGGAAGCCACTCCCAGGTGGCTGCTGGACACTTCAAGCTCAAGTCTCCACCTATGTCCACGTTTCACCAACAGATGTGGTTGATTGCTCACATGACAACAAGCAACAGGGGAGGTGAGTCATGATTACAGAATTTTTAAATTTTAGTGGAAATTGTGTTTTTTTGATATAAAGGTAGGTCACAACAATATATATAGAGGAGAATTTTTTTATCTGTAATAGTATCAAATATTTTTGATGGATTATGTAAATAAAAAAGGGATAATGGGAAAGTATTTTTGAATAAAAAAAATCATAGCTACAATGATGGTGCCTAAGGAATGAAATATAATTGGATTAATCATCTGCTTTAGAAACTAAACTCTCCACAAAGTCATTCTGTCTACAGTGACCTCCTAATAGAGATGGCCTCTTTACAAAGGGTCCTTCTTATAGAGGTGGTATCTTTACAAAGGGTCATCTTCATAGAGGTGGTCTCTTTACAAAGGGTCCTTCTAATAGAGATAGTCTCTTAACACTGATGTCTCCTAATAGAGGTGGTCTCTTTACACATTGGCTTCCTAATAGAGGCGGTCTCTTGACAAATGGGTCTCCTAAAAGTGGTGGTCTCTTTTCACTGGGCGGCCCATAGATGTCGTCTCTTTATACTGTGTCTCTTAATAGATGTGGTCTCTTTACTCAGTGGCCTCATGATAGAGGTGGTTTCTTTACAAAAAGGTCTTCTAAAAGAGGGGGTCTCTTTACACAGGGGCCTCATAATAGAGGTTGTCTCTTTACACAGTGGCTTCCTGATAGAGGGGGTCTCTTGACAAATGGGTCTCCTAAAAGAGGTGGTCTCTTTTCACTGGCCTCCCTATAGATGTCGTCTCTTTACACTGTGTCTCTTAATAGATGTGGTCTCTTTACACAGTGGCCTCATGATAGAGGTGGTCTCTTTACAAAGAGGTCTTCTAAAAGAGGTGGTCTCTTTACACAGTGGCTTCCTAATAGAGGTGGTCTCTTGACAAATGGGTCTCCTAAAAGAGGTGGTCTCTTTTCACTGGCCTCCCCATAGATGTCGTCTCTTTACACAGAAGTCTCCTTATATATGTGGTCTCTTTACAAATGGGTCTCTTAAAAGAGGTGGTCTCTTTACACAGTATCTATTAATAGAGGTGGTCTCTTTACACAGGGGTCTCCCATAAGAGGTGGTCTCTTTAAACATGAGTGTCCGTATAGAGGTGGTCTCACAGACAAGTTTGACTGTAAATGTATCTTTTTGTTTTAGATGGAAAGTGTTAAGGCAAATCTTTTGTCAGTGGTTATAATTGCGTACAGTAAATCTTTCTGCTTTCTTATTCATGAGAAAATGACCCATTTAACTTAACAAATTTAGCTTTGAAAGCTAAACAAAATGATGACTTTCTTTTTGTAAAATTTAAACAATCTAATCACTAGATTATACTCTTAAATGTGTGGATGTATTTGTTGCAGGTTCACGGTTCCAGGAGCCCTTTGTTGTGGGTGTAGAGATCCGGGGTTTTAAGGGAGATATAGACCATGGCATACTGAAGACCAAAAACCCGGAGCTGAGTCCCAAGTCACACAACAGGACACGGCTACTTAGCTGCTCTAATGTACGTACAGTTTGACTGTTGGCGATCAGATTTTGATTTTGTCTTTCTTTCTGAAAACTGAATATTCTGCAGAATATTAACCTTGATTTATTATGGAGAAATTCTTCGATTTAAAAATACATACTACATTTGTATTCAAAATGACAGATAAAAGATTTTTATCTTGTCATTATGAAGTCACTGAATTAGTGTTATGTTGCTGGAGTTGCATTCAGTTGCTTTGTATTGACAAAACTTTGTATCCCACTAAAACCACAGGGATACTGTAGCAGGATGTTTGGTTAGCTGATATAAAGTATAACTGTATGATACCAGGATTTCTTCAGATCTATTGTTCCTTGATTTTATTATCTCCTCCGTTTTTTCGCAATTTCTCAAACTCTTTATTTTTCATCTTTTCCTTAACTCTTTTTTTTTTCGCAATTTCTTTTACTTTGTTATTCCATGATTTATGTAGTTGTACGATTCCATGATGTTTTACAAATATAGAACCACAGACAAACAAACATACGAACAAAGAGGTGTTTTATTGTAGGTCTGTGATGATCTTATACTGCTCCACCTCGGCTACTTGGACTACACTAATTACATCATCAACATCGACTTCTACGGCCTCGGGGAGGCAAAGGCCAACATCAAGGACATTGTTTTCTATGTGAGTAATGTATTCTCCTAGTTACCAGTTACTGTAGTCAGCATATTAAACTCCTCTAAACGATCAGTATCCCCCTATCTTTTCTTACGCTAAAAACATTAAGGCATTTAGTTGAAGTCTAAAAGTACTGAAATGTTTCACTCTGTTGATTCAAACAATATCCAAGTACATCATTGTCAAACACTTTGCTGTGATCAATCTACAATTTGTTTGTATGGGATTTTTTCCACTGAATGGTTAAATAAAATGGGTCCCACCATGTTAAATTTCAGTATTTTCAGAAGTTTTATGGGCCAAAACAATATTCTATAGGTCAAAACAATATTCTATGGGTCAAAACAATATTCTATGGGTACATGTTCCCAGGACTCGCATGTAGATTTATCACTGACTTTGTATATAACTACATTATAAGTGTCATATGAATCAGATAGTAAGATTGAAACTTTTTGGTGCTAGTTATCAACACCTGCTTTTTGGCATCCTAGGTTGTAATTGGTTGAAAATAAACTTTATATTTTCAGTTTAAGAGCTACAACACCTCCTTCACACAGCTTGAAATTTGGATCCGATTTGTTTTTGTGGTGGTGACTTTCCTCGGCACAGTAAGTAGTTAAAATTTTGATGAGCTGAGACATTTCTTTTGGTCAACTGTCAAGCAGTAATCGTTTTTGCTGAAATAGCCATATCATGCCACATACTCCAAAGATTTATGTATATATACAGGTATATAATTATCTTGCCTAGGTGTACTGTTTTTGCTTTCATCATCATCATTTATTTAGTATTCCCTAAGTTCTTGATAATATCCCACGGTCTATATTTTCATTTTCTTAAAAAAACCACAAAAAAGTCACCTGTTTTAAACCCAGCTTTTCAATGTATTTTCAATGCTGTGCCATTTTTGTAGCCATTTAAACAATAAGTCTTTACAACTTATTTTCAATACTGTCATATTTTGAAAGCCTTTCAGATGGTATTAATCCACATTTGGAATATATATCAGTCACATGTTGCAGTTCATTGAAGAGTTTTGTAATAAGATTTTATCATCCTCAAAGGGCGGAATGGGTAAACATATTTCCTGTGACTCTGATTGCTTGCAGTAAAAGAGTGTTTTATGAGACAAAGTGTCTCAATATTATTCTGACAGCTTACTTTACCGACACAGCCTATTTTTGCTGTGTGAGTTCGTTCTCAGTGTTATAGAGTCGAGACACTGGTCATTTTCACTCCTTGCTTGATCAAGGAAATAGACATTTTTCGAAAAGCTCGCAAAATAAGCTCTCAGGAATATATGATGGTTAAGTACTTCGTTCACGAGTTATCTGGGAAAAATTGACCTAGGAAACTATCTTTCTATGGGAGTTGGTAAATAGTTGATATCATCAGTGACAGTAGTTTACACTCGGTCAACCTCTGTGAAGGAGGAACGTAAAAGTATGTGGAAAAAATGTCGTCTAGAACAGCTGTTAACATCATTAATAATGTGAAGGATGTTGGCAAACAATTTTATTGACCATCATCTTCATCATATGATCTGGGCTTTGTTTACTCCTTGATTTTTTTTTTTATAGGTCCAGTATTGTTAGTTTAACAGTGTTCACTGTGCTTTTTTATCAAGAAGTTGTTTTCATTTTAAGTCAACCTTTTTAAAAGCCTGATCAGCATACAATTGGACAAAAAAATATTATCTGGCATATTTTACAAAAATATTCAACATAACTATTCAACCTGCTTATCTTAAAATCAAAGTATTAATCCTTTCACCCCTATGTAACTTTAGTAAACTACACCATGTATTGATCAGGATGAGTCCATTATGGCCCACAGTGGTGAAAGGGTTAATCATTCAAAGTCACGATGACATTTTGAATGTACATTAGGTTTTTAACAACATTTTCTGCTGTTGATTAAGCTTTCCACGACCAGTCACTTAGAGGCTGATCAGCTTAGCAACAAGTTATTACAAATTTCAAACTTGGTATTTGAAACTGAAAACTACATTTTCATGATTATCATTCCGGATATGAAATTTGCCAAATAATTACAATAATATTCATTGTTAGGAGAAAAATATTTTGCATTTAACTTGACTTTAAGTTAAGTGCTTCACAATTGCAAGCTAACAAATATGTGAGCTGTGACCACGCAGACTGTCTTCTTACTTGTCTTGAGTAGAGTCACAGGTGTGGTAGCATGCTATTTATAAATACAGGTAACAGGTGTCATTATTGCAAGATTGAGTGTAAAACAATAAAATACACGGATGGTAGCATATGGAATGAGTACATAGCATCAGATACACATTGATCTCTCTATTGATGAGCTTGCTTTATATTTTATCATAAATTCTGTTACTGGTATAGCTTTTATGTGTAATGCTTTGAAGCCCCTATATATACATGTATATAAACTGGGAGGGGGGGGGGGGGGG